CACTTTGGTGCATCGTCCCATTTTGCTGCTTTCGATCACACAAAGGGACATGAAGGGGGGGGGGCAGGTCGGCCAATTTAATACTTGCCTATGTGTGTGCTGCAGCACTCGCCGCGCCAAGCCTTGAGTTTTCTCTTTGTCATTTCGCGCTCTGTAGCCATGCCTGCTGAAGCTGGGGTGCCGATCTCAGCCTCACTTTTTGCATGGCTTGCAGGAGATCAATTTTGGACAGTGCTCTACACCGTGATTTTGATCTTCGCGGTTCAGGGCTTTGTGTCGATGTGGAAGCCCTTCCTGACTCGTGGCCCTGCTGAAGCCCCAAAGATGGGGGAGATGCTGACCCCACCAGAGAAGCCAATGGAGGCGTCCACGGCATCGGCAAAGGTCGATAAGACAGCAATCATCTCATCGCCCACTGCCTCTGCCACCTCCGACTCACAGGATGGGTCGGCTCTCGCACCGGGGGCCAGTCCAGGTCCTACCAAGGACGCGGACCCCGTACCTTCTGGAGATGGCACCGCTACTACGGTCAAGGATGGCTCGACGGGACAAACCACGGGGGCAACTAAGGCTCCTGACAATGTCCCTAAGGATGGGCAGTTGTCCACCTCGGCCACTCCGAAGTCGTTGGGACCTCCGACAACTACATCGACCCCGACCACTACTCCTAAGGCAGCTGCTGCCCAGCCTATCACGGCGCAACAGCTCATGAAAGAGATGCAGACGATGCATGGCGATGTCAAGATGAGCCATGTGGACCTGAAGGGCCTGATCTCCACGGTCAGTGAACTCAAGGATACAGTCAATGCCTTGAAGGATGTCCCTTCGAGGGTGGCTGCCGTCGAGAAGATTCTGGGTACACTGGCTGGAAAACTTGGTCCTATGGCGGCCAACACAGACTCCACGCAGAAAGTCGTTGACCAGGGCTTCAAGGAGAACGTACGCCTTCTCAGTACGATCTCGGCCAATGTCCGAGGGCATCGTGAAGATGCCTGCCAAGAAGCCAAGGACTTTCATGCGGAGCAGAGGCAGTGGCTCAATGCCACAGAAGCCAAGCTGGTGGATGGCATTAAGGAGGTGCTGAAGAAAATCACCAATACAGATTTCAACTCCTCTCAGGTCTACAACCAGAAACTGGAGGGCATCGCCTCGGAGATCCTTGCAGCTTTGAACTTCACACAGAACGAAGTTGCAGATCTGAAGCAGGCTTTGGGGACCACCAGTGAGGAGGTGCACTGCATCAAGGAGATGTGCGAGAGGCCGGTGGTGTCGTCATCGACACATCCACCACAATACAGGGCCCCCACATTCCATCCGCATCATGACATCCCTCCGGCGCCTCCGTATGATGTTCGTCAACGAGTGAACCTTCAGCAAGCCTTGCCTCTTTCCACGGCAGAAGGGATCACTGTGAATCCCGACGGCCGCAGCCTCAACATTCCGCTGCGCTAGTCGGCTTGTCAGTGAGATAGCTGTCCTACACAGATGCACGGCTAAACATGCTCACACTTTTAAGCAAGCTTACTTTAGTGGGTACCTAGCCGCTGTTTTCTCCACGCCTTCTCGTGCATGCCTGTGTGCTGGACTGCTTTTCCTTGCTGCATGTACTGTTTTGAATTCATGCCGGACTTTTCCTTGCTGTACTGCGCCACTTGAATTTGATACTCTCCTGTATGCTGGCCTTCCTGCATCGCTCTTTTGTACAGCTGAAGTGCAGCACTGTGACGATCGTCCATCGGACAAAAACCGAGGCCAGTTGGAATGCAGTGGGATAGGGATGTCTTGTTTGCTGGTTGCATCACTGTACACTACACCTGTAGTTCCTTTTCAGGCTCCCAGCTATTAACCTGAACGATGTGGCAGGTAGGCAGACTGACAGCGTCGCCCCCGCACCCCATCCTTATTCCTGATGACCCTGTGCCTGTTTCCGATTCTGGGGATGTTGAGTTTGAAGAAGCATGTGCATCCACGCAGTTGGATGATTCAGGGGACATGCGAATTCCTGTCATGCCGGGCCTTCTGCTACCTCCACAGGGTTCACTGGCCAACTTGCAGACAAGTGACCTACATACACCTAGGCGTGAGCCCTCTGAGCCATGGTATATTGCATGTCATGATTTTCATCCCTGCCCCCTCCTACGACCTATTGAGATCAAAGCCTTCAGACTCCTTATGGACCCCCAGTACCCCAGTAAACAAGACGTGTTGGACCTCTTCTGTATGATGCCCTCCTCGAGCCTTAGGTCTTCCCCTGCCGGTACACACCTTGTTAGTGGGGTTTCTCCACGTTGTCCCGACTCAGGTCTTACCCATAGTACTGAGATGCCCTTCATGAGTATGGTGATCAATAAGTACATGGCCCGCACATGCCCAACACACTTGTACTCTACCTTTGTCATTCGCCGGGGTGTGATGGCGCAGGTGCATCGTGACTACCGGAATGGCCCTACTCCCAGTAGTATTCAAACCCTTACACCATGCCCAGAAGGCGAGGGGCTCTGGCTACAGGATACCATAGGGGATGTAGTACTGCCTTACAAGGGAAATGCACTCCGTGGCACCGTATTTAATTTAAACGAACCCAAAATCTTTGACGCCCGACATAGACTACATGCAGGATACATTGGTCCCACTACGGATCCCTCCCAAAGGGTCACCCTTATTACCTTTGCATCCCTCCATTGCTGTAGTCTCTCTCCTGAGGTCAGGCATTCCTTGCTTCATCTGGGTTTCCCTATTCCCTCTGAAGGGGCCATCAAACGATCCTTGTTTGGATGTAGCGCCTGCTCGCTTCCCCGACTCAGACAGTTGAACCTAAACGAGGCCCTACAACTTAGTGTAGAACATCGCGATAAGTATGATGTCATTGAGATAAAGGACTCACAGGATGAAGAGGTTGAAATGTTGAGTGCGAGTAGCACTTGAGGTTCAAGCTAGGCGTGGATTTCCGTGTAAGATGGAAGACCACCAGCTAGAGATCGTTCAACCGGAGCATCTCCGCCCCTTCATACCTTTGGCAGCCCAAGAGATTGCCTCTGCACTACACCAGATGCCGTCCCATATTGCATGTTGGTGCGCGGCGGAGCTCCGTTACATTGTCCGCGAGTATAAGAAGTCTTGGTACTGGTATTATAACCGTGTTTATGATCTTTGGATCTATTTAGACTCTTTGGATGAAGTTGTATCGGAGTTCCCTCGTGCAGCCAACCCTTTGCCCCTTACTACGTATGCCTCCGCAGATGATGCTAAATTCCTCGAGCATTGTGTTATGGACGCATGGGGGCGTTTGGACTGTACTGCGGAAGCAATCGTATGGCATCAACTTAGGCTACACCTCCCCTGCTGGGGACTGATCCTTAGTCCTGCACCGATTGAGGGTCTCTATGGTTGAGTTCGACTTTGTCTTTTCGGTTCAGGTCTTGGGGGTTGTTCCTGGGTCTGGCCTTCGGGTTGTTTTCATTTGGATCCAGTCTCTTGGTTTCGGCGCCTTGGCTGCACTTACTTGGAATTCATGCTGGACTGCCCTGCTGGACTGTCTTCCTTGCCTTTGCACTGCCCCTTTTCTCCCTTCTGCATGCCCTTGCCTACTGCGTGCTGCTTTTCAGATGATGCATGGGTGATGATCATGCAATCGCGCCGTCGGTGTCAGTCTGCCTCACCTCACTCCCCTTTTACAACTATAACCTTAAGCCCTGTTTTCCCGATCCTACCCCAAAACCACTACCCCTCGCCAGTGCAATCCGGCCATGCCTCATTTTGCGGTAAACCATCGTCGCTTCGCCACTGCCGTGACACTTCCCTGGATCTATCACTATGGAGAGTTCTGGACTTTGGAGCTGGATACATGACCTCAGCAGTTTCAGCTGCGTGCGCTTCTTGTGAAAGCTAGAAGGGAACCAGCTTGTTTGATCTACGCCCTCACTGCCGAAACTCACCAGTCATGCCCTGCTGCCGCTTTTGTGTGGGTGCACTGGGGTGTTTACATACAGTCGACTTGGTCAGCCAACGGCCGCGATGACCACTGCCTTCACGCCCGTGGGTGTATTTCAAACCCACACCCCAGTGGGCGTGGGCCTATAGGAGCATGCCTCCTACAGGACGGGGTGAGGATTTCGTGGCAGACTTGACATAGCTTGACTGTGATGGCTTCTTTGCAAGTTGAGTAACAACCGACCGGTCGGAGGCCCGTGGAACTGAACTGGTGGTCAGTGTCGGATCTACTGTCCTTGAAAAGTGACTGTCCTGAAGTGCATGGATGGAGACCGCTATACCCTAACATGGCTGTATGCTTCCGGTCGAGCACCTCTGAGTGTGGGGAATCTACTGTCCTTGAAGAGTGACTGACCTGAAGTGCATGGATGGAGACTGCTATACCCTGACATGGCTGCATGCTTCGGGTCGAGCACCTCTGAGTCTGGGGGCTAATGAGGGCGTCGACTTGAGAAGCCTTGTGCATGCCGTTGAAGTGAGGTGCACGTCGAATGTGATTTGCATGCCAGGCCTGTAATTCTAAATCCGCACACACACACACCTTGTTCTGAGATCCTGTGCATGCTGTCGGAGTGACGTGTTTGTCCTAGATAGTTGCTTGCATGACCAGTATATTGGAAATCGCCTAATTCGGATTCCTTTGCAGTGGTTTCACACTTCTGTTCTCGGTGTTGATACACGCGAGTTCGATATACTGTACATCTCGACATACTGTACATCTTGTCTGTCTTGTCTACCTTTTCGGAGCTCCTCCTGTAGCCCGTCGTTTGTGGCCTTACCTTGTGTTGGCGCTGTTTGATGTAGGGATATAGGAGGGACTCTGCTTCTCCAATGAGTGAAGCCTTACGTTCCCCCTGGTAGCACGAAGTCTGTGGCCTTACCTTTTGTTTCGCTGTTTTCTACTGCTATCAGGGGGTTCCTGTAGAAGTTCAGCTGCCGACCAAGAACTTCGTCTGGATTGTCCGAGTTGCGAGAGCGTAAACCCTAAACCGTGGGTGGCCTTGGACCAGGCAGTGCCCTCGGGCCCGGCAGCACTACCGCCGACCGGCCAAGCCGAGTCGGCGAGTGACTTTGGCATCTCAAAACGTGTGTTTTTTTTCAGTGGGGTGGTGGGTAGTATATAGGGATCTGAAGAGTTTGTAAGGTATGATCCCAAAAGTTCAAACGTAGTAAGACCCCTATATTAGCCTTCACCTTGTTGGAATCGCTCAAAGCTTGTCTTGAAAAGTCGTAGGTTACAAGTACCGGATCAAATGACCCTTTGCAGCAATTGTCTAGTGTGCCCGAGACGCATGTTTCTTAGATTCATGGGTGCCCTTAGTTTTGTCAAATAGCCCGCGTCGCGCCTGTGGCATTTCGGGCCAGATGATGATACGGGAGTTCCGGATCCAATGCACCCCGAAACTTCAACCCTGCAGCACAGCCCTAAATGCCAAATCCTAATAACCTTAAACAGCGACAACCTTGGTCGGGTTGCCATAACCGCCGAACTGAGGCTTCCGCAGGCTCGTAGACTCCAAGCATCTTGACTTGAAAAGATGAAGTGGTTTGAAGAGGTTTTGGGGGCTGTTGTGGGTGGTTTGGGATTTACAGCCTTTGGCTTCTCTTGGTGTGTAGTTCGTTGTCTTGCTTTTCGGGGTTTGAGGCTGAGGGTTCAAACTGAGGACTGAGGCAGTCTATCGAGTTCGCTCAAGAAGTTCCGACTTGGGAGCTCTAGCCCTAAACCCTATAAAGGAACCCGGATCGCTAAACTCTAAACCCTGACAGCCCTAAGCCCGAACCTATCTAAAGGCTGGGGTTTCGGATCCTGGATCCAGCGAGCAAGTTTGGGGCCTCGATGTCTGGCACTCCAAAGTCCTGTGACCGCAATCCCCAACTATGGGTCTCACCATCACAGGAGGCGCATGGATGCAGGAAGCATTCACTTTGGTTACGAGGAGATACCGACAGAAAATCGTGCATAAGAGGTTCATATGCGTGTATGATGTTAGTGTGCAAAAATGCATGTATGGTTTGTTGGTTTGCTTGCTGGTTTGTATGTTTGTGTAGATGTACTTGTGTATTTGTCTTTAACAACTGGAATATTGAGCATGTGCGTAAGCTTATGGATGTACGGGTGTATGTATACATCTCTGTCTATGTATATATATATATATATAACACTTATCTGTATGTATATATACATATAGATGTGTGCATGTGTTTACATGTAAATCTGCATATGGTGTGCATGTGTTGCAGCGTGTGTACATATATATATATATATACATCAATATATACATACATATATACACACATACACACACTTGTTAACCTTTTCAAGGGAAATACTTATGTAACTCACGTCGCACATGCACACACGCATATCTATATACGTGTATGTATGTATGTATGTATGTATATATGTATGCATGTATACATATACATGTATAAATAGGTCGAAGCCTTCTTCATCAGCTTTGGGCGTTTCTGTCAACCGGGATTCTTTCGACTCCGATTCCGTCAACTGGGATTTGGGGTTCAGGTTTTACTAGGGTTTAGGTTTTAGGGTTGAATTGAGGGTTTAGGTTTTAGGGTTGAGTGCATCTGCTGGGTACAGTTGACAGAATCCGCTGGTGACACTTGAAGGAATCTTGGGGGGAAAGCTGAAGGAATATGTTTGCGACCTGCATAAACAAAATATATATATATATGCAGATATATATATATATATATATATATATACAGATCTACACATACATATGTTTCTACGTACACATACATGCGTGCATACCTATGCACTAACGTTGTAACGTTTTCATACACGTACATAGACTGACACAAAGTGCATCTCAGTCTTTCTCTCTCTCTCTCTCTCTCTCTCCTGTGCATGCGGGGGTCAGAGTCACTTGGCTCGGGGCTGCTGGGGTTCGCGGCAGACTTGTAACCGATTCAGCCCTGTTAGCTGACAAGGTCTCCACAAGCCCCGTTTGCCATGTGCCGAACGGGCTTTGCAAGGGTCGCGTTCAAGTGTTCCGCTCAGGTTTACTGACATGATGAGAGCCGCCTGGAGCTGAAGATGGATTCGGCTCGGGCTTGGGGGCAGAGAAAGTTCCTTCACATTTGCAACTTTCGATCCGTGTCGAAGGGCACTGGTTTCTGGTGGGCCGGGGCGTGCCTGTTTTGGGGCTGTAAGGTGGGTGTTTTGCTCCGCCGGAGTGTCCTCATGCGGCTTCTGATCTGTGCTGTGCAGAGACATAGACTGACATAGACGCAATCAGCGGTTCCTGCCATTTGCATTGTCACTTCGTCATGCACCTGCTAACGCACTGTGGAGGGTGTCGTCTGAAAGAGACATGCTCAGATACTGCAAGTAATGACGTTCATCGTGCAGCCTGAGCACCAAGGAGACCAATCAGCGTTTCGACCAAATCTTGCACGAAATATCCCGTGGCTTCGACCAAGCGCAGAGGACAAGATTCCTGCAGCCAGGTTAGGGCTGTTCTAGACTAGGCTTCCCTTGCGGGGCCTGTCGAGCCGAATGTGAAGTTCTCTTTAATTACAACAAATCTACAATGTAGGTGGCTCGTTGCTGGACTGACTGGCTTGTTTCTTTTCTGACAGGAGACCCCGTTCGGGCCCCAACTGTCCTCATGAAATCACGGGCCTTTGCAATGAATTTGCTTTGTTCATGTCGGCCGTTCTGCTGTGACACTTCTCGGTGGAACGACCAACCTTTGCGCCCCGTTGCGCCCCGCGCCCGCCGAAGGAAAGAAGTCATCACCTGCCCCCCAACAGAGACAAGAAGGATAGGAGCCCCCCAGCAGAAATCCATAGGGTCCCGGCCTATCTCTGCAAATTCGGCGCACTATGCGACCCGGCAACCCGGCACGAAGCCTTAACTGCGAACAACTGTCCGCTATCCAGTGCTGCGTGAGGATAGCAGAGAAGACGGACAGCCGTCCCGGTCCTGACCACGATCGACCCGCAACCCTCTTCGAAGCATTGACGCAGGAGTGCAGCACTGAGGCCAGGGGCGACAAAGGGCTTTTACTGTAGCAGGGCGCATGAAGCAAGCAAGCAAGCATTACGCTAAACCCTAACAAAGGGGACCTATGGGAGTCAATATGGCGCTTTCGCACAGCGCTCTTGCAGATGTCAGCATAGCAGCCACGGGCGGGTTCCCAGAACCGCTGTGGAAGCCATAGCAGCAAAAGAGGCCACTAAGCTCAATCCTGACGCCTAACCCCGCAAACATCTCACAAGCCACAGCCTCCAAGAAAAAAGTGCCCTAGCCTAGCCCACACGTTTAAGTTTTAAAGCCGGCTCCACTCACGCCCGAAAAGCTCGAAATATTTAACCTGCTGTCTTCAGGAACATCTAGGGTCTCGGTTCTCTAGTGTAGTGGGATATTTGGCCGATTGTCCTGAGAGTCGATTGCGGTCATTGGGTTGAGAACCTACTGTAGGGGAATGATTAACTACACTATTTTGGGAGGTTCCTTACTGTAATCATAGTATACAGGGTCCCAAAACCCTATTCCAACTGTTATATAAGGCCCCTATATTATGGTTCGTTACTTGCAGTTGTTGTTGGCGTATCCCGTACTTGAAGACGGCATGAGCTTTCTGTCCGTCTTTGCAGTCGCAAGACTGATACTCGTATCGCAGGCCATGCCAGCCATACAGCCATCCTTCACAGAAATAGCGGTTAGGTGTGCTTGAGCGTCAATGTATCTTGCACCAGGCCATGCGCGTCCTTAGGGAAGACACAGTGGTGGGCTTGAACGAACGACTGGAGCCCCGGCCAAGCAAGTGGTTTTGCTGTCGTTTGGATGTTTCATTATTCCCGTCATGAACAATCAGCTTCTGTTATAGGGAGCTGGAGACCGATGTAGGGTGCCGAAACCAGGAGAAGCTGATGTCCTGGCTTGATGTTCGGGCCTTCGGGTCCAAGCAATTCTGATTTGCGCAGGATGGGTTCATGCAGAGCCACGGTATTTTCCACTTTTCGAATGGTCGCTCAGGATAGACCCGAAGTGCAGCTGGCCTATGTGAACTTACAGAAAGAAGATCACTACTACATAATATGATGACCACGGGGAATGGTAAATGCCACACACGGTTAGTATCAACGCCAGCGATAAGGGCAAGATGTGTATCCCTCTTGCTCAGAATACCGGCGACACCACGCTCATACGAGCCATCAAGAACCAGATGTGGGAGGTGCGGTTAGCTTCTGCTGCTTTAATCTAGAGATCCGAAGAATTTGGAATGACATTCATTTCTAGTCCAAGTATAAAACATACCCCAACAACGACATATCATATCCCAACATCCGGTTCTCAATATGAGCCACCGCCCCTCCCCACAGTCGCATGCATTCGGCCCTGGTGCTCAATAATGCGCGAGTAGTTGGCAGATAACTTCCAGCCTTCGGTTGTTCTGCTGCAGCTGTCCTCATGGTTTAGTGGGGGAAGTCCTTACAGTCCGGAGTCCTTGTTTTCCTTATGATAAACCCCCTAGGATTCATGGGTTGCTCATCGGCAGACTCCTGCTATTTTTACAGGGCTTCCTGGCAGTGCAATAAGGATCTGCCTATGCAGTTCCATATGATACGGATTCTACATAGAGTTCCTTGTAATGAAGATTCTACTCTATGCATGTCCCATTTGGTGGCTGCCTCACACCCACCGCAGGAACTCCTGCCTCCAACTGTAGCTGAAAGTTGACAGCCGAGCACCAAGATCTCGACTATTCAAAGGACCTCAAACTTTTGGGGTTTGTTATCCAATCTTGCCATGTTGGAAGACTTAATGCACGTTCTCAGGGCCAGGGAACTCAGCACCGAGCTTATGCATATGCTTGGAATGAAGCTTGCAGCTGACGGCAGAGCGTCCTAAATTTGAGAATCAGAAAGATGGAGGCACACACACAGCTCCTATCGATAAAACTTGTGATTCGGCAGTCTCAGGCCTCTGGCTGCTGTAGTCTGTGCCAGTCGCGCGAGCAATCCAGTCCTCAGAGTCGGTCGGAACCTTTTTTGAGGGTTTCTAGCCATGTGATGCAGGTTGCCTTTGAGATTCTTCGACACGAGGAATTTACGCAGCTCAATGCATGGTGGTCGCACTAGACGAGGGCTCGAAGGTTGTTTGAAGCGAATGATTCAGTGGGCTGACAGCAGGATTTGGGTTCCTCGGCCAGTGCTATGCCTTCTCCCGAAACCGATTTTTGACAACACCTCCTGAGCCCTGAGGCCCCTAGAGCCCGCCAAGCCAAGAGGACCCTCTTTCACCCTCTTCCCTTGGAGATCGGAGAGCGGAGAGTCTATATAGGGTTACGGGAAACCTGGGCCGGCCCGGCCACATCAATCAACATTGAATCGACTCGATGCGTGTTAACGAAGTCGTCGAACGTATCACTGCAGACCTTGCCCGGCTTGTCCGAGTGTGAGTGTCAAAAAATCAACATTCTTCTGCAACGGTATGAATGAACCTAGTTTTATCATACTGCCGTTCAAATTGTATGTCTTATCCGCCGTATCAAAGCCCTGACTATACCTTAGACCCTGAGCCGCCAAATCAGACTTGTTGTCTTTGTCTTGCTGGGTACGTTAGTTTTGCCTCGAGATCGATTGGGAATTCGATTGGGTATTGCTGCGGCCAAAGATGCTGACTCCTGTACTGTACTTTCCTAGGCCCAAAGGCCCAAAGCATATCGACCAGCTTGAAAATCTGCCACCCCACCACCAGTGTGGCCGCGAGCATCAATAAAAACGATCGGCAACAGCCAGGCGGCTTGTATTGTCGGTCAGGTAGCTAAGATTGGTGCTGATGGTGACCATGGTGATGACGTTCATGATTCATGACGGCCATCATCAAGAATCCTCGTCATGGTCACCGCACTCAGACAAGATCAGCCCGCCCCTTGGACCCATCTGAGGAGAGCGATTCAATGGGACTTTCCGCCTGGCACCATGCACTTGTTCGGGAACGCTCCGATGCGGCCCGGCTTGAAGGATTCGCTAGGCTTCAGCGAGAATTGCTGCAGCTGGTCGTTGCAAAGCATCTTCCACACAATAAAGCGAGGAAAGGGGCAAGGACGAGTGTGAGGGTTTCAGACTAATTACTGAGATCCAGAATGGAAGCAGGCGTGGTGTAGGAAGATCAAATGAAATCCAATGCTGGAACGCATGCAAAAGACTCATCCTAGTAAGGGTCGTAACATTACCGGCTAGTCGCAAACCAGCACAATACAACGACACGTCAAGCAACGAAATACAGACGGTAAGCACGTTGGACTCGGCAGTACGGTGCCGCTACTCCGCTCTCGGTTATCCACGCTTCCCGGTGCAAACCGGGCACTAGGCTACATTCTTGCTGGATGTTAAACTGAAGACTGTACTTCATGGGACTGGAGACTTGCGGAATTGCAAAGGGGCCTGATAGTGCGCTTGGCAGCAGTATATGAACACGTGGCTGTCAGGGTCGCAAAGGCCTGAGCATCTAAGTAATGGGATCTCGCAGTGCTAAGTGTAGGAAATATCAAAAGGTTGCTGGTGAGGCTGGTTGGTCAAAGCGAAAATCAATTCCACAATTGCGTCTCTTAGGCCGAACTTTATACGGCTGAAACGGTCATTTACAGAAAAGCGCCACAGTTATGAGTTTCATCAGGCTCTTTCTTCATACCGCGTTTCGACTCATCTACAATTTGATGTTATAGCTTTCTTATTGCAAGAGGCGCAGTCGAGTTATGCATGGAGGGCCTATGCCCTGAGCATGTCGCGCGTGACTAGAGTCATGAAAAGCGGAGCCCAGAGCAGAGGAGACAAAGAGCCTGAAACCGTGGTTGCAAAAGCATGTTCTTAGGGGTACTCAGAAAAAATAATTTAATTTTGGGTTATTATAATCCCTAAGAAACAGCTAAAATTGCAATTTTTGCTAGGGTTCTAAGTTCAGTATAGTGGTGAGAATGTCAAAGTTGCTGTCGACAAATCGCCCGACGAACAGCAGCAGTAGTTCCTGCAAGAGCACAACTGCGAGGCCGAATGTGAAGAGACGGGTTGGCGGCTTGTGAAGTGTCAATTTGCTTTGTGAATTCTCCGAAGCCTGAAGCCCCAAGGTCGTGGCAGCCATAACGAATCGACCTGATTTTGCTGCTGTCCATGCGCTGGACTTGAATGCAGTGGCGCAGCATGTCGCATCCGCGCGTGACACGAAACGCCCAGCGCCTCTCGTTGGAATATGAGTGGCTGAGACAAGCCTGGCGTGTGAAACGTATACACGCATTCGACGGTGATCTTCATGTAGCAGGTTAGTCAGACTAGTTTACGTAGCATTCCAGAATGTAGCACTCCCTTCACATTACAAATCAACGAAGGGAGTTTAGCTGTCTGGCCAGGCTGGTCCTGTCGTGGCTTGGGGTAGCAGCTGCACCCGTCAGCCCATGCTCAGCACATTTTTCTTACCTGGGCAGTCAGCCCGTCTTGTTTTTGCCCAGACATCTGAGACTGGCAAAGCCAAGGGCGCATAAACACACTTAGTCGTAGGACTTCTTGGAGCCACAAGAGGCAGCGTCCAGACCCAGGAGATTGGAGTGAAGCAACCAATGGTGTGTGTTTCCTGTTTGCGCCTTGAACCCAGGGAAGCTGTCCAGACCATTCTGTTGTGAGTGTGCGTCGGTCTATTGGAGCCTGCAACCATATGTACGTGTAGTCTGTGTGTGTGTGCGCGTGCATCTGTGTCTGTATATATATATATATATATATATATATATATATGCAGATGTAGCTGTAGATGTATATGCATTTGTATATACATCTTGTTTATGACTGTATATATATATATATATATATATATATATATATATTTATATTTATTTATTATATGCATGATCATATACTGCTCATTATATGCATGATCATATACTGCTCACATATATATATATATATATATATATATATATATTTATGCAGAGATAGATAGATAGATGTTACTATACATGCAGAGTGGGTGAGTGATGTATGTAGGTATGTACATATGCACGTATGTAGGTATGTAGGCAGGTAGACACATAGGTATATAATTATGTGGGTTTGTAGGTTGGTAGGCACGTAGGTGTATTGGTATGTAGGTATGTATGCATGTAGGTAGGTTCGCAGGTGGCTACATACATACATACGTACACATAGAGGACAGGCATGTCAGACAGTCAGGTCTAGTTCGGTCGCTTGCGCACCTGCTGGAAGCTTCTGCTGGCACACAGACTTCGCTGTTGCGATGACTCCTTGCACTCCACGGTCAGACTTCGGCATGTATTGACCATTATTGACCAATGGCCCTTCCTGTCGCAGATCATCAAATCCACCTTCCAACCGCTAGGCCTGAACCGAGTGACAACCTACCCTGAAGCCTCTTGAACACTAAAGCCGCCCAATGCTGAAGGTCCCCCAGCCAAACAACCCTTTTCCGAAGTCAGGTCTTGGAGTTGGTCCTTAAGCATTTCCCACGGCTCCAATACGTGTGAAGGCAAAACCTTGCACGACGTCTTTACTAAGTCCGCGCTGTGTTTGTGTGTATGCTTGTGCTGTGATCTTATGGCGTAAAGTCCAAATTGCGAGCTGTGGCTGCGGTCAGCCAGCACCGAGTCACCGTGCGTCACAAGTCCTCCGGCATCGTCCTTACAAGGGGACCAACATGCCTCGGACGCCCAAATCACGATGCACCTAAGCAGCGTTTCCCCCTTATGCCCATGGGTCCTGCCAATACTCTTTCATCACAGAGTGCTCGCGACATCAGTGCATATTGTTAAGACCAGCTTCGTTTTCTTATTGTTATTGTCAGCCGCGGCTTTCCCAAGCAGTGTCTCTACAGGCTTTGTGCTCCAGTCCTGCTGCGCTGCTTTGCATTTTGAGTTGGCCCAGCGTCATCTGAACCGGGTGATGCCTCAGAAAGTTCATAGAGAGCAGGCGCCCGGAGCGTCCCAACAGAGTTACGACTACAGCTCTTTCCTACCTGGTTCAACCCAACCGATGGCCGACTGGAATATCTCGAGCAAGTGTTGTTCTTTCGTGGCTCAGCGTTGCTCCTCCAACACATGCTCGGAACCGACCCTGTCATTTCTCAGCCAGCGCTATGTACATGTACTTCTAAATGGAGGATAAATCGGGCGCCGCTCATATTTTGTCCTGTCTGTCTCTTGATGAGCTAGCTGGCGAATCCATCCCGGACCTGCGGTGATGGACCCTGATGGCAGCGAACCCAACGGTCGGCGGCGGAGAGTGTTCCCCATGGATCGGGAAACTACTGTGAAGCTTAAGCTTTCAGGTTCGGAGTTTCCTCGTGAAAAGCTCGCGCACATTGCCAGTTGTGATATACCTGCATGTACGGGGCTACTTGAGGGCTGAAGGAGCTACTGAGAAAAGGGAGCAACTCCTCAGAGGATTCGCTGTGACCGCCTCAATAAAAGTCTCGACTCACCGCCTTCGAAAAATTGCTTGGCCGGCAGGGGCTCTAACTCCATATACCCACCATGAGAGAACTCCTGATCTGCAACGCAGGATGCAAAACACCCACCATTATGTCAGTCTTGCTTCGTGCAGAGGTTTGATAGCATGTTTCGAACTTGCGTAGCAGAAAGCCCCACGCATAAGTTCAGTCCCCTGCTTGCTGTCAGCATTTGCCAGCCTAATGCCCGACGCCCTTGACCGCACTGTCTATAGCGAGACTGGCATGTTTACTCCAAATTGCGATCTATCCTTCATAAAGGACCCGAACTAGTAAGGAACATCATTTTCAGATTAGACGTGTATGCATGCTTTTGCTTTTCGTTTATGCCTTCATGCATGGATGCATACATGCGCACACGCAGACGTGTAAAGTCGCTTAGCAACTCTCGCATCCATGCGAGCCTTCTTTGAAACGACAAGCCTGGAGCGGCTAATGCAGGGAACTTTGCAGTCTCTCCAGGTAGACTTCGCTTTGTGGGTATCGTTCTGGCCATGCGAGAGGGACGAGGGTCTAGGCCCTGAGCTTTCCACACTGAAAAAACACCCAAGGTCACTTAGACTTCGGTTCGCTTCATAAGGCTAAGACTTCACATCCTCAGGCCTTAGCAACTTCCCCAAGAACCCCAAACTCTGGCCCGCGAAACCACACCCTGTTATCATAGTTTGCTTACAAGAAGAAGGCAACGCAACGCGTGTATTCCAGAGCACCGAGGCCCGTTCAAGCGGCCGAGGGCCGACTCAGCTCTTCAGGTGTGACAGTGTTTGTTGGGATCACCGTGGGAACGGTGCTTTCCTCTGGGGTAAGATAATTAGTATCATCGTCATACAACCCAAAGGGGTTGTTGATACCTTATCTTTCTTTTGTTGTGGGTCTAAGTGGGGCTTGTTCGGGTAGCTCTTGAGTCTTGCATGTTCTGCAGAGTGTAAGGCCTGGCTCTAGACAGTACATGACGGGTTCAGATAAAAGCTCATCCGACTCTCTGTGGGGTTGTGCGGTTTCGATCCTTGCCGTCTCAGTGGCGCACAGAGCAGCCTGCAGAAGCCCGGGGAAGTGAATCCAGACCGCACGCAAACCCATCAGCCGATAATCGTGGATTCTTGAAGTCCTGTAGCATGTAAACGTTGAACATATTCTGACTTCAGTATGAACAAAAAGCCCAGTCTGGAGTGTGCGAGAACCAATGCGCAGCCTTGATGCCAAAGCAACACGAACACTTCCGGTTCTCCAAGATTCCTCCCCCGGTCCCGTTGTTCTTATGGTCGTCTGCGCTCAAAAAGATGGAACCACAGTCGAGCTCTTCTTTTGGCCCTACCATGCCCAGAAAGGCAGTGTTCAAGCTCTTGTCACAAGTACTTGTGCCGAAATGTATGAACGCATATGACTTTTACAAACCCCTGTCAGGTTGTGGCAGTCCCTCGCTTCCAGCTGAAGCGGAGATCCCGGCCCATCAGAGTGATGGCAAAACGTCCGCAGTCGGGCCACATGGTTTGGACCGGTGTTTAACAGCAGTTGTTAACACCGTCACTTCTTACTTGAAATAGAACGTCTCAGAACCGAAGCCCTGCAGATACGGGTAAGCTTGCGGAGCCATCGCTCGTTGTGGCGGGCATCTCCAAGCGACAGTCCCATGATGTGCACAACATATAGTTTCCTCAGGGCTGAGGGTGCAGCTTTTCGATGTAGGGTTCTCCGTTTTCCAGCGACCTGGAAGTGTGCAAGGCGTGCAGTAGCCCAAAGGCACATGCAATAGCGACGATGTGCATTGCTACTCGCTGCCCCTTGGCTCATGCCACCAGCACAGAGAGAACAGCATTTCCTCGTAAGCAAATTGGAGATGATTGCTTTGAATCTATAGCCTTCGTTCTCTTGCACCAGGTGAACTGCATCTGACAAGATTCGGTTTGTTGTCGCATGATGACCTCGGCCAGAATCGTCGATAACAACCCACCACTTAGAGTCAACTGCCTCAAGGGTTTAGCTGCCCTGTCCAGCTCACGCTCGCTTCCGCATCATATCCCTGGTGGAGGTCTGCTGGGAGTCGGGATGCTGGATTGAGGCCTTGTGGAAAATCAGGGAAATCGACGAAATCCCAGAGATAAAGGTGGACGCATGTTTCGTTTTATGTTCATACTGGCATTGAGGTCATGTCCTTCGCACACAATCGGAACAGCAGCGCGGCTTTCAACAAGCTCTTCCAAATGGTCAAGGACCCGGATGTGTGGCGCGCGCTTTCGTGTCCGGAAATTTTCTTGAAGCGCCGCAGCATGCGTCAACACGACTTCTTCATATGTGTGTATCCGTGGAGCTGCTGCTGCTGCGGCTGCTGCTGGCATTCTTCATGTCTGATGCTGGAATTAAGCACGATGTAAGCAAGGGGGCAGCTGGAGCGGTGACCATACCGACAGTCGCAGTCAACCTCGGGAGGTCTGGTAGCGAGAGCCATAGAAGCCATGCAGTATCTTTCCATAAGTTTTTCCGCCAGGAGACCGAAGCGACATGCGCCCACCTCTTGTCGAATGCCAAGGTGGCGGATGGCCAGCTGAAGGCGCGTGGAGAGGGTTGCTGATGATGCCTGTTTGCCATCTTGGAGTGATGGTGGCAGGGCCTGGCAATCTTGCTCTTCTAGAGATGCTGGGGTTTGGGCTGGCAGGCTCTGGAGGGTCAAACTTCAGAGATAGAGAAAGATGGACAGCGGCCCTGATACTACTCTGCTCCTTCACTTCCAAAGCCTTTTGAGTC